CTCTTCGGCCTTGCCGTTCCTTGCCTGATTCCACCCTCGCCGAGAACGCCCGAACATACAAATCCCACTGCTCAGCCTGGTTTTGAAATCCTCACTTGAACTTTTCATTCTTCCTGGTTGCCTGCCTGCCTTGCCTTGAGGATCTGATCCTCAGCAATACGTGTCACACTGCTGCCTCGTACAAAGGACCATCGACAACACAACACAACACAACCGAGATTACGTGAACGACCATATTTCTACTGCCAACTTTTTCGAGCAACTACTGTCATACAATACAGCAAATTAAAGCCTCTTCGACAAACTCATACCCATCTCAACCTGTCCGGCATCGGCCTTACCTCACCACCACCATGAAAGGCTGTCCCATTGACGAGCTCGTTTACGAGTGCATGTTCCCTCGTCCCAAGAGCAACGACCCCCAGAACTTCCAGGCTCTACTCCAACGCCTCTTGATCCCAGAGGTTCGGCAGGAAACCCACTCTTTCTACGGCCACCTCGACACCCAGGAAGCCAAGTACCCCGGCCTCGACTACACTCACCACACCCATCGCATCCGTCTCTCTCGCTGGCAATGGCACCGACGACTCTTCCGCGCCTTCGACAGCCTCAAACTTACCGGAGCCGAGATCGCAGGCTTGACCAAGTGGGAGGGAACAAAATGGGCCAAGGAGAAGTACGAGAAGGAGCAGGGGTATGTTATTCATGACACCACCGCCGACGGTTTCCCAGACTGGGCCGATATCGAACACTTGCCCCGCGCCAACCGAGATCAGTCCGCTGAGGTGGAAGGCGTTGCTATCGACGATTTGTACAACGAAATGATGGAGGTCGAGAGCGAGGACGAGCTGGACAGTGTGGGTGTCGAACTGAACGAGCGCCTCAGGGACGGTGTTGCGAGACGTGACGCCGGAGACACTTCAGCTGTTCTCGACGAGGAATGGGAGCAGTGGCTCAAGAACGCCATTGAATCTGGTGAAATCAACTACTTGAACGACCACATCTTTCACGACAGCGACACTGTCCCTGCAGCTCTCTTCCCTCCAGGCTTGCTCAGCACTGCCCGAGCTGGCCAATGGCATGAGATTCCCGAATCCCTTCACCGCATCCTCCGCCGCACACTACAGTCAGAGGACCCCAATCGTCCCCAACAGATGCAGACACTACCACCACCACAACCTCAGACATCGAGCCTGCGCTCTACATCCTCCCTACGGCGCCGCCTCATTGAAGGCCAGCAGTGGCGTGCCTCATGGAGGCGTAGCGCCTATTCAGATCTTCGTCTGCCTGTTGGCGATGCTAGTTCACGGCTCGCAGATAATTCCAATGCTTGAATATCATGCTAAGAAGAAGAAAATGAAATGAAGTTAAAAGACAAAAAACAAAGCAAAGAAAAGCATATGTTCCTCACGAATTATACCCTCTTGGCTTCGTCACTTTTCAGGTGAAGCCTTTTTTTATCCAACACAGCGATCAGACACACACACGCCCGGCCTCACCATCGGGGCACGGAGCCTGCAGCCTCAAATGCAAGCATGACCAATGTTTCATCCCTGTCTCTGCTCAGGCATCCAAGGGTAGACAACAAGCAACCGACCATATGAGACACGTACACGCACACACAAGACACCCATCACTTTTTGTTTTCCTTTTTTCTTTGTTTGCCTATCCACATTATGGATAATGGTGTCTGGCGATTGGGAAACAGTAAACGGGGCATATCTGTATGATTTTCAGGGGAATTGAACGTTATGGATCTGGTTGATAAAACGTTTGTTGCTTGGCATTCGAGTCGATTGACAAGGATAGAGACGGCTTTCCCGATCTGGTTCTCTTCGCCTTGGTGCTTGTGCTGGTCACATTTGAATCATACGGGCTTGTTGATAGATAGCCAGCGACTTATACCTGTTTATAAAGGGTTTTCTATGTTAACTGAGTCCTCACTGTAGTTATTATCAGTTTGATCTGTAAAGAGCAAAAACGGATGGTATGGTTGCGAGCTTCGATCTGTCTGAAAGGACTGCTTAACCTACAGAGGAAATGTATTGTCAAACGACGACGTTATTCTACAGTCAGGCTTCTCAAAACCAATCCTGACTATACCTATGGGGATGAATACGACCTATAAGGTTAACCTTTAGGCTGCAAACACAGGTAACAAATAAGAACACGGTATTTTTTGCCTCAATATAAGGTTTTACCTAGAAGCTTTCACGATGACCATTACATCTTGCTGCAAGCCCTGGGGCATTGCAAGGTGAAGAGATCAAGAGGTATATAAAGGATCCTGACTATACATACGTTGAAGCAGATGTATTACAGAGGTGCTTGCCAACTGCTATTGTATCACCAGAATAACCACTTGACGTGTAACAGGGTGGGCTGGGTCTATTCTTAACTCTACCAGGTCTACACAGACATACCCGACAACTCGTTACCAGCTGCCTAGGGATCTCACGAGCTCGAACTCGATGTAGAATTCTAAACTAGGAAAAAGAAAAAAAAAAGAATTACCTACAATTAGTGACACAAGCAAAAGGAAGGGCCTGACCGGGGATTGAACCCGGGACCTCTCGCAAACTTTAGTCCTTTTATGAGAACTGAGATGTCACTCCCGAAGCAAGAATCATACCGCTAGACCATCAGGCCGGACACTAGATCCTAGTCATTTGTTAATGCTGGTCTCCCATAATCTTGATTATAAATGATAGGCTGACTGACGCAGGACATGAGATTCGTTGAATTACACACCGGATCTTGGTTGATAGTCGATGAAATAATTAGATTGCGAGAGAAGATTCATTGAGTGATAGTAGTTCGAATTGGCATTACGTAGCCTACAATGTGCCCTCCCGTAATTGATGTGCAGCACCAACTTGGGCTACTAGAATCATGAAATGTATCAACCCTGGCTGACAGCTGTCATGCAGTGCCTCACATTCCCAAAGATTTATTATGTTATCGAATTGGCGTTGATCTACGATTTGTTGAATCAAGGTCGACAGGATACTCTGAGACTGTTCGCTGCATTCTGTTTCCTCCGGCTTACAGAGTATCAAGTGTTATCAGCTCGGCTCGTTGATAATGCGACCGAGACTAAATGCACTATAACCTTTAAAGATGGCGGCAACATAAAACATGGTATTCATACACTGCTACCAGAATCCGGAAACTCCTCGCTAATACTGATCCTTTACCCACCCAGATAAATTATAAAATACACCCCAATAGCTACTCCTCTGTCGTGTGCCCCGAAGATGTCCGAAGCTTGATGCGGATGCGATTCCTTTGTTTTGGTTTACTAGCTGGACGAGAGCTCTATCTCTCAGGCTCCAGATGTGACCACTCAGGAATCGCCTTGATCTGCTGCCACATGTATTTTTCGAGCTTGTTCGCCGACTTCGCGTAGGGTGTGCTCTCATTATTGTACTTCCTGCAGTTGTCGAAAACAAGCTTGGCGTCCTTGATGAAATCTTCAGGCGTGAGGTACTGGTCGGCCTCAAGTTTGCTCTCCATCGTACTAAGATCCATGGGCTCCTTGATAACTTCGTAGTAGTCGGCCACATCGTCGCGGTTGACAGGCACAAGGAATGGCCAGGCCGAGTTGTGGTTCTGTAGATCGTTGAGTAAGTGGAGCAGTTGGTTGTAGTTGGGCCCATGGCGAGGTTGGCGGGCTAGCTCGTCCATGTCAGGAGACCATCCTGATGCTCGAATGGCAGGAATATCTAGAGGGTTGATCTCGGTGATTCCGTTCTTCCACTCCTTCGGCGGAGCATGGATATTGTGTGATTTGGAGTAAGCGCGGATCTTGGCTTGGACGCATTCTTTCTGCTTAAGGAGCATGCGACCCATTTCGAGATATCGAATCCGCGGCAGCATCGAGCACTGCATAATCGTACCGCCTTCATAATCCTTGATGTATCCCATCCAGACCTTCTTGTCAAGGGTGATTTCCTTGGTGAAACCCTGCTTTTTGAAATAACCAATAGCGTAGTTGTCGGCATAAGTGAGGAAATGCATCACGTCGCTTGTCGCCTTGACATAGTCCTTCAAGTGCGACATGAGATGGGCGCCGTATCCCTTGACTTGCTGGTCAGAACTAATGGCACAGAAGACAATCTCGGCGAAACGGCGACCCTTGAAAGGGCGATATGTGATCCCTCCAACAACTTCAAGGGGCTTCTTGACGATGGCAATCGATAAGTGTGTTCGGTCGTAAACTAGTCGCGCAATATAATCCTTAGGCATTTTGGGAAGTTGTTTTTGAAAGATACACTTGAGTCCGGTCAAGATAATGAGTGATTCGCGCTCGTTGTCGTTGTTGACTACTCGGAATTCGATCTCGCCATTGCGCTCTTCAATGACGGCGGGCTGTAACGACCGTGTGAGTACAGGATATATGTATGAGGTTGGTTAACAAACCCACCTTTTCAGGGAAAGGAATCCTTTTGATCTCCGGCTTCTTCTCCGGAGGCTCAGCCGAGTCATCTTGCTTGATGCGCTTCGATGGGGTAGGAGACGATGGCTCCTCCTCGGCTTTGCGCTTGCCGTCTGAGTGAGACATTGTGAGTAATTCCATCGTTTTTATGTTCGCATATTTAATAAGACTTACTTTCTTCTGACATAATCGCAACAGGAATCCTGTCGGGTTCTTCAACTGTGAAGTTAATTAGGGAGCAAGTGAGTTATGATAGAATGGAGTATCATGACAGCGGAGTGAGGCGCGTCGAGAATGTCCGTGCACTGCTTATGTCATTCAATGTGGACCCTCCAGCTTGAGGCAGGAGCTGACAGGGGTAGACACGCACTAAACCCTATTTGTCTATGGACACGATGCGCCATCGTAAGCTCATGAAGCTTCCCCAGAGCATCTCCTAACAAAGCAGTTTGTCAAGTCAACGCATTCACCTCAACTTTTCTACCGCGACACGTCAATTTCTCGCGAAACCCCACTGCTCACCCTCTCAAAACACAGTCCATTCGTCTTTCCAATTTAGCCTATGGATTCTTCGCTGCATGAGGTCTGGCAAGCTGCTGCTGGCAGTCCCTTCTTCCCTACTGTGAGCAAAGGAAGCCAGTTCTGGGTCGCCTTTTTCTTGCTCCTCCTCGGATTCTCTCTCACCGGCGTCTTTGCCCTGAGTAAGTGTCTTGACTCTCATCTGCCTTTCTGCCTACTGACTGGTTTCAGACCGCACACTCGTCAACGTTCCCGTACTAGGCATTCCAGCCTCCATCGCCATTGCGTACGTTCTCCATCGACTGTCCATTATCTTCTCAATTACTTACTTTCCACAGTTTCGGAGTGGTCTATATGTTCTGTGCGGTCGGAGTCTACGTCTAAGATACCCAAAAGTCCTCGTTTCGATCGGTTTCGTGTAAAATAGTTGGAGCAATCAAGAGAAGACGCTACTACAGGCGCCCATTGCTTTTCTGCCAGTTATCGTACTTTTTATCCACACATTATCCTCAATCTACCACAGTCACAATCTCGAAATGGCACCAGACGCTCAGCCAATCTTTCGCGCAGTTGCGACTTCGACCAGACCACTGTATCAACTTCTCAGATGCATCAACTTTGCACCCAGAGTTCATGTTCAAATTACAGAGGATGGCGTTCGTTTCGCTGCTGACCATGCACGGGTGATGCAAGGTCAGTTTGACAGCTATCCTTGGGATAGACAACAACTGACAAGCATCAGGAGTTGCATTTCTCGATAAAGCTCTCTTCTCGTCATATACAGCCAATCTCTCTGCTCAGCATGGCGATAGTCCTCCTGAGCTTCCTAATTTTCAACTTTCATTATCTTCTGTTCTCGAAGTACTCCAGATTTTTGGAGCCGTAGACGTGGCCACACGGGCTCAAAAAGCAGACCAGGATCCTTATCGCAGCAATCTTCGGAACTATCGGCCTGATGCTTTCAGTAACCAAACTCTTGGTATTTCTGGCACTTGTACTCTGCAGTATGGCCAAGAAGGGGATCCATTCAAGATCACCATCGAGGAGTCTGGCGTTAAGACAACAGCGTCATTGACAACCTATCTACCAGAAATACCTGATGATATTCCATTTGACCGCAATGATCTGTCCTTCAAAATCATTATGCAATCTCGAACGCTACTCGATTCTATGGCAGAGATTTCCCCAACAGCACCGACAAAGCTAACTATCGCAACCACTAAAACCTCGCCATTTCTATCTCTCGCTGGTGTCGGGGATCTTGGAAGCTCGGGAGTGGACTTCGCCCGTGGAAGAGACCTTCTCGAAACCTTCAACATCCAGGAACGATGGTCTCAGGCCTACAAGTTCGACTTTATCAAGAATTCAACAGAAGCAATGCGGATTGCCACCAAGGTTAGTTTACGAGGGGATGGTCAGGGGGTGCTGAGTCTGCAGTTCATGGTGGATATTGAAGGTGGTAAGCGAAGCTTTTTGGACTTTCGGTTCGTTCCATTCATCTCGCACGATGAGGATGATGATGAGGACGATGAGGTAGAGGAGGCTGGCGAAGCAGACTAGATATATTGACTGGAAAAGTTCTTCACACAAGGACGTTAATTTGAAGAAATTGTCTCACCCAACCACTCATGTCTCACATACCTTTTTTTCTGCTAACCGTTCTGTCTTGTTACTGGTTGGTGATGAAACCTTTTTGGAAATCCCTCGTCTCCCTTGATCCACCAATGGAATGCAGCATGAAGCAATCTGGAACATGCCCTACGTCGAAGCTATCGTGGCCGGAATGATGGATCCAGCCTCCTCTGGCATCATTACATCCATCGCAGACTCTGTGTCTGCGATGCTGTGCTGAAAAAGGGGCCTCATCCCACCTATTTCCGTTTGTTCAGCTTCTTCAGCACATTTCATATTTCCACTCCATCATTATCTTCAATCCATCACCCGTCAAACCTGCTGAGCAGAACGACGCTTTATTTCTTCACCATGAGCCAGTATAAAGAGATCCAAATCATCATGTCCTCCAAGCCCTGCACCACAAACACCACCACCTCCTCCAAGAACAACAGAAAGATTTCATGTCATGGCTGCCTCTTTGGCCCTCTGAGGTCATGGGCAAAGACGAAATTTGGAAAGAAGCCTATATGTGTTGAGCTGCATGATGACTTTGAGCCTTTGCTTGATGAGAAGAGAGCACCTAGGCCTACCTATGAAGTATCCAAGATCATGCGCATTGCTACACCACGAACGATTAAACGATACAACCGGCTGCCTTGAAGATAAACACATGGACGAAAACAACCGGCCATCATTCAGCCATTGCTCGGTTTAGCCGTCCAGAAGCACAATATACGATACGGAAACACAAAAGCTATATATGAGAAACGAGAGACATTTTTATGAATTACAAGATCTTATGGGAGTACTGCAGGTCGGTTTATTGTTATGGGTTATCGGGACCTGATGCTGTAAATTAATTATGGTTATGGAATACATAAAAGGAGTTTGAATAAATTGCACGGCTTTGGTCTATATTTAGTTTATTTTAAATACATGAATATCATTTCTACAACATTGTTCCTGATGTTACAACTCAACCCGTAGGAAGTCCATGAGAATAGATTGGGGTCCAGCAATTTTGAATCCTAGCCTGTAGCTTCTTGTGATGGCTCGAGGAGGAAAGAAAACTCAAGACGTTAATCCAAAATGTCAAAAAGACTTAGGTAAAGTGGCATGAATTTAGGATACCTTGACTAATTTTAGGATATCTTTTACTGAGTTTATTTTGATACCCTATATTAAGGTCTGGTGTTTTCTTGCTCCCTGAGGCCTGGCCTTTAGCTTCTTGCGATGGCAGTCTTGACAATTGCATGGAAACCCCGGCAAGAAGATGGGCCCAGTTCTGTTTCATGTGGTCGAGGCTCACCTGCATCAATGTCTGATTTGCTCGGAACAGCACGAGTATGAGAGAATTACTTGACTGTGTTCCTATCGGTGGGTGGCCGACTCCCCAGAGAGCTCGTGCCAGCCGCGAGGAATAGCATCCTGGGATATGCCTTGACCATGATGTTGAGAGGACGGAAACGAATATACCGCAACATGGATCATATTAAATTAGACTCAGCTGAGTTCCGTTGAAGAATATAAACGGATACTGTCCCAGGGATTGACCTTGGTGTTGTTGGGGGCTATGGTCTTCTAATGCTTCCAGCGCTGGGCAACTCCGAAAATTGTTAACAAAAGACCAGGAACATAAATATATTGCATGTGCATCAAGGATCCAAATATAGAGTATTTCTTGTTTTAATGAGCTTCTTCTATTGGCCCCCATGGAATGTTCTGCATCATTGAGGCTCAGAAAGCGATTTTTAACTGCCGTGTCCGAGAAAGGCAGGTGCGCCAGGAACGAACAAGGTTATTATCCATCCTTCACGGGCAGGATCGATTCCTCCCGCGGAAGAAGAACCCACCAAATACAACATCACTTCAACTGCGCCACGCTTCGACTGTCTATCAATTCTTCTCTCATTGTGACCTCAAGCTCTTGTCAATTAATCTTCACCGCTGTCTTGACGCAGTCAAATCATCCTGATACGATGCCATGACTCTCCCAATGCAAGCAGCCGTCGGTGGTTCACCGCTCGGAATTGGAATGAAGACACAATAAACTATCGGATCTACTAGCGATAGGTACCCATCGCTAATCGTTCGCCCGTAGCCTGTCAATGCACGCGGGAAACTTTCCTTTCCCGTTCTCCACCTTAAGATCAGCATCAGGGCCCGGTAGATCAGCCGTCCATTGCCAAGACAATCATTCGACTCGATACAAGCTCCTAAGGCATTTCGAGTTACCGCCGACATCAGGGCTCTCTCTTCAGGTTAGCACTGCAGGCTCCCGAATTCCAAGCGTTACAGTGCATACGCAGGCTGACAGGAGGATCGTTTCTACTACTGCATCATCCCGCTCCGCCTGATACCCACTGCTGTGATGTTACAGGACGTCGTGGGCTCACAACTTGTCTCCGACGTCAAGATGCTTTATCCAGACGGGTAGCGACTTTGATGTGTTGTACGGGCCCTTTCCTTGGGCCCGGTTATTCGATATCCGGAACTCGAACGAACCACTGACGATTAGTGGGTGGTTGGGAGTTGTTGCACAAGCTGGATACGATGACCGGGTCTCGACATTCGAAGCAAGACATCTTGTTTCCTGCTTCTCGCAGGCCTGAACGAACAGCCCTGAATAGCATCAGCCACGATCAACCAACAGCCAATTAGCACGGAAGTAGACCATATACAGATTGCCTGTATTGGTAGGACTTTGCTTGCATGCATCTGGGGGCCATTGTTGCTCCACAACACCATGATTGAGGATAGGCTTACAGACAGAGGAAGGATCACACGAGTTCACCAAGAGTCCATTCTCTGAGTGCATCGCACCGTATGCGTCCTGAGGTATATATCTACTGATGAATCCTGCGACATCTGGGCAGTTGAATTGCTTGCAGGCCAAAATCGCATCTGGTTTCCGCATTCGGGTCCGTTGAACTTTAGACCCATCTAAAGCAGCCTCGAATCCGGCGACACTGAACGAGATCGCATCCACTCATCTAGAGCATATACTTACCAGCATTTGCTCGACAAACTCTCTTTTCAACGCACTTCTTTCATTCTTCTTCTTCCTTTGCTTCAGGACTATGTGAAGCCGTTTTTTGTTTTGTTTTGTTTTTGGATTCTCTTCGTTCCATCATCTGCCTTTGTCGGGCAAGCCAAGATGCCTGGCTTGATACGGCGACTTATAACTCCTCAACGGTCACAACACAATATCAGAGATCGGGATCGTGGTCGCGATCGCCATGAAGATCTCACTGATTCATGCGAGGACTTGAGTTCTTGTTGCGCCAAGTCTTCACAAAGAAAGACCAACAAGGCCAAGTCACGTCTTCCAGTTCCAAGGAAAGGTGCAACGCCTGTTACTATTCAAAGAATACCTGACGTACACCGTATTGCGAACGCAGTTCCTCCTCTACCAACTCCACGTTTACGAGCACCGTCTGTCAGCTCTTCACGCTGTGAGGGGCGAAATGCTGCTCTTGAGGCTCTCACAGGCAATGATCCCACCAACAGATGGCCTGCACCTGTTCTTTGTCCAAGTGAGCACGGACAAGCCCACCCACATTCCTACCATCACTCCCATTCCTCCCAATCATCTCGGTACCTGCGCCCCCCTCAGTCTAGGAATGGTCCTCTCGGCCCTGTCCATGTAAACGACAATAGCACACACCTAGAAAGAACCTCACCAGAGGCGTCGATTCTTTCTTTGTCGGACCATGGCGCTGATGGTTACGAGGCCGGGCCAACCACCTGGCAGCCTGCCCAACCCATGTACGACGGTCAAAGCCTTGGCTCGTCATCAGACAGCGTTGACCGTCTATTTCGTGAGACTGATGAGGCATTCAAAGCTCTTGGATCTGCACTTAGAGAAACCCAACGTGCATCACAGCTATCCGTTTTACCTTCACCACCCTCACCACCAGGAATTCCAACCTTTCACAAACACTCCAAATCCATGCCGCTGCCCACGGGCTTTCAAAAACATTCGAGATGGAGAAGGGAGGATTCGCCCTCTACTTCATCTCAAAGATCATCACCGGATAGAAGGACTTCGGTGGTGAAGAAACCTCAGAGAAAGAAGCATAGTCTTGTAGGGACCCCATTTTCAAAAGCGGCGATCCGCACGCCAAGATGGACTCTGTCGGAGAATGTGACAGACATTCTCACAGGCCAGCGTTTCAGACGCATCGAAGCTGATGAGATGCTAACACCGGATCGTATTGAAGCACTGCGCAAGAAACGAGAGGCTGCACAACAATTGGACGACGAGCGCGCTACCACTAGAGAACGATATTCTATCGACTCCGTTCGCAGTGCAGCATCAGATAACTCCGAGACAGACATTGAGCCATTCCATCTTGACGAATTAGCATCTCGAATCAGAGCGAGACAGGTTGTGGAGAATCCGGCATTTCCGGTGGTAGTAACGCCTCCTGCCACAGGCCGGACTCCTGATCTGGATCTTGTTTCCCGAGACGTTTCGAAACGGGCCTCAGGGGAGGATGATGATGAGTCAGTTGGGAGTAACAAAGATAAAAGTGACGCATCGCCAGAGATCTCACCCCAATTGCCGGTCAAGAATCCTGCACGATCCGGTGCAGAGATTTCACAGCTACCATCGATCCCCGAAGCCATGGGGGCGGCGACAGCGAAAGACGAGGCAAGCATTGAGCGCCCAGCTAGCCTGCCGACCACCGAAATCACTAATATGAAGATGGAAGAGAACGATGAGTTCTTCTACCTCAAGAGTACACCCTATACTCTCACAAAACCATCTTTCCGTCATGGACCTATCACCCTAGCCAAGGCCGAGGTTGGCAAAGGAGTCAAGACCATGGACGACACATTAGACTGGACAGCATTCCAGATGGCGATCTTGGGAGGAGCCGGGGATTTCCTCGAAGACATGTCGAGCGAGGAGGACACAAAGCAGGTGGAAGAAATCACATCGTGGTTCGATACGTTTGGCTTTGAGACATACGGGGTGCTGATACCCGGAGACGTGCCTGAGCCAGAACCAGAACCCGTGGCTGTTTCTGTGTCAGAGCATACGCCTTCAATGAGGTCTTCGGCTTACAGCACTCTCTCGTCGACGCCTTCAACCATCGACACTGAAGTTGACCTGCCGATCCCGGTGGGTGCAGAGTTCCCCTCCGGGTTCTGGAACGCCTCGGGGCCCGGCCAGACTCTCAACAAAGCTAAGTTCTATAACAGCACAGGGCTAAAACGATGGGTTGGCGAAGGACGACCGAAACGCCCTTCGTCACACAGCTCGGAAGACAGCCTACCACCGAGCCCAATGATGCCTCTCGTGGTTCATATGGGCGCTGGCGAAGCCGATATTCCGGATACGGTACCGATGGGTTACAACCTAGACCATGACCTGCCTGATTTCCTGAAGTGGGAGGCGGAAAATGTGTATGCATCTGGGTTTAGTGTATCACCGTGAGGGTGATTTTTGTTTTTTCCTTTGTTATTCGCGGTTCATTTGGCTGGGATGCTGATGTATCCATCCCATGCATGAGATTTCATTTTGACACTTTTACCATATACCAAAGCATTGAAGGCGCTGAGAGCATTTATAATAGATGATCAACATATCGATACGAAGTATCACGTTATATAGATGATATAAAAGAGTTGACGTTTGATGGTTGATATTTGATATTTGATGTCATAGCGTGAAGATTGTATCATCAAAGTTAGTGTTTACGGTGGGTAAGATTACAGCGACGAGTGAGTGCCTGTGGCTGTGGTAGCCAATCAATTCCCCAGACTCTCAGCTAACTCACAGTGTTTACTTTTCTCTGGTCTCATGCGACCCTTACAAAAGCATCTCATCAACTCAAGTGTCAGAACAAAGGCAACAAAAGACGTTCCCTGTTCTTTTTCTATTTCTTCCACATCCTTATCCTTCCGTCTCCCAAACAAAAACCTATACAAAGACGTCTCCCTTTATTTTCACGTCACCCTAACAAAGTCATCATAACAACCAAAGCCCTTTGTTTTCATCAGTAGCTTTTCAAAGCCAGAAACAACTCTTCCACCGCCAACCACAAAGAAATCACAATGCTCAGACGACCTGCAACAACTCTACACATTACTTCAGAGGACGTCGCTTCTTACGAGGACCGTCGTGCGCGTGAAGCCCTCGTCGCAGCACAGCAAGCACGAAGAGCCGCTGCTGTGGCGGCTGCTCAGCAGAGTCAGGCTGATATGGAGGGCGTCCATCAGGCGCTGCAGGAGAGGGAGAGGGATGATGATGTCAGGAGGGTCAGGGAGGAGAGAATCGGTGTTTCGAGGAGGAGATGAGAGGAAGGACTGGTTTTACGAGTTATGCCTATGATGGGTTTGGGTCTGGGTTTGATAAAGCGGCTCATGGTTCTTAGTTGACCGTTTTGTATGATGAAAAATATCTGTTCATTCCTATTACTTTTATCGTCTTGTTTATACATACAAAACAGCTCTGCGAGAGCGCTATATCGGCTATTAAGCAAAGCCTGTTTTCCAAGAACATCAATATGTTCTCCTAACCCAATGTGAATTATTATATACAGAGCGCTTGAAGCTGTTCTGGCCAAAACCAATACTCCTCCCAATGGGCGTTTGATTATCCTCTCCATGCAAGATATGCGAAAAATGAGACTGTCATCCAAGCAACACGCCATGTCGTTGTCCATAGTTCTCGACCGATAACGCCAAGAGCCTTCTTACCACCGATACGCTGATCCTGAACGCTTGTGCTAAAGAGATTATCGTCGAGATGGATTCGTGGTCCGCCTGCAGACCCCCAGCCCCAGCGCTTATCGCTACGGCCTCCACGTCGAGCCTGCCATCGACCTGAGGTCTGAACAGGGGACGCGCTTCGTCCATTACGGGGGGCTGCGGCTGATAGACGTGAGGGTAAGTGATGCGCTGAAGTACCTGAAGATGTGGTGTTGCGGTATGAGGATGCCTCAGGGGGGTCCATCTTGTCCTTATACATAGGCAGGGCAGCTGAAGGCGATGACTTCTCGGGCTCGAGAGCGAAAGGTGCGAGTGAGAACGCAGGTACAAGTGCAGCGCGAACGACGAGAAGCACAAGCGTTGCGACGATGAAGACGATATACTCCATATATGTATGGATCTGGTTCGGCAAAAGACACAGATGAGTCTGGATCGTCTGCTCTGGTGCTCCAGGCAGTGGCTTGCCCTGTGCATCAACAGGGTTGTACATGCTCGCCATGAGGAAACCCGGTGTAGGAACACCCATGGCCATGCTCATACTCTTGACGGTAATTTCCCGAACATTCTCCTTCGCATCAGAATGCACAACCTCGCAGTAGTCGTGATCATCGCCTGAGAATACATGCTTGATGTTGCCCACCTTTTTAACCAGCTTGACTGAGTCCTCTTCGTTGAGCACGTTCTGGTACTGATATCCACCAACGACGCTGAGAGCGTTTCGATGATCAGGGAATACTGGCTCTTTCTGCCCCTTGGGAGGTTTGGCAGGTGGCCAATGTTCTCGCTGAGGTCCGCAAGGTGTTCCAGGGGCTCGATAGAGCGGAACGTGAGTCAGGAGAATCGTAGGAAAGTCGGGTCCGTCAGCCTTTTCTGCTTCAGGGTTGTTCCCCCATGTTGGCTTGGACCTTTCCAGCTCCTCGACATGGTGAGGATATCGCAGACCTCCCTGGAGATCGTAATAATGGCGCAACTCTTCCTCAGCTGCTTTTCTCTTCAGTGTCTTGACGCCATCCAAAAACTCATTGACGGGGCCATAGATAGGTTGCAGATCATGCTGGTTCTTCCACTCTGAAGTATCCGCGCTCAAAGAGACCGAATCAACAGACACAATCGTGTGGTTTCCAACGACATCAACACGATTCACATCCCCAAAGAATGCGCTGAATCGATCCCGCACTGAAACCTGGACTTGCGCACCAAAACCCAAGTCATGGTTTCCCGGTAAACTCGTCACCAGCTTCCGCCCGCGCTGCCAAGCCCCGGGTGCTTCTCCACCGTCATTGTAGTGCTCGAAGAAGATATCCCCAAATCTCTCATACTCGTGTAGCCAGAAATCTTCGCCGTACTTGTCGTGCCACGTCTGAACCAACTCCTTCTCCTCCTTTGACCGGCCACGTCCCCATTTCGGATCGACGAACTTGCCCTCGCGGGTCTTCCACTCCCGGCCACCGTCGAAAAGATCGCCGAGAAAGAACAGACTGTCGGGATGTAATCGTCGCTGCATGGCTCGGTAGCCTCGTCGTAGGTAGTTGTCGGTAATGAGAACTGTGAGAGGGTTGATAGGCCAGGGACGACCTGGGTAGGAATGAGGATCGATTATTTGGGGGTCGGCGACGAAGACGAGGTGGTGAGGTTTCGCATCTTTCGGCTACACATCGTCAGTCATGTCTCTTCCAAGTCGCATCCTGCACTGAGAGAAGCCAAACATACCCATTTCTCCCAATGATCCCAATCGCAGCTCGCAACCTTGCTGTTAAACACCCATCGCTCGCCATATAACAACACTACCATCCAGAACAATACCACCAGATGTGGAAAGCTCAACAACCGTCTTGAAGTAAGATTCCGCCGTAATCTCCGCGCAATTCGCTCACCCATCGACGCAGCTAGACGCTTTCCCGGCCCAATAGCCCACAGCCTCAGCTGATGCGCCGTCTGCTGTGCGTTGACCGATAGAACATGGCCTATTGACTGGATGTTCCTCGGGACCTTGCAGTTGGTGTGATACTGGTATTGGCGCGACATGATGGCGCCATGCCCTTGCTCCCACGATCCAAAGCCTCGCAGTTAGGCTCTCCACGCAAAAAGTGTCGTCGTATCGTGGTTCGTTCACAATGGGGAATTTGTCGTCGAAGTACGGAGTAGCCTTTGTTGATCGACGCTTCAGGGAACAAGGAGGCCCCTTGATGCGAATGTCGATGTTTCAGTCAAACAATTTAACGTCTCGTTTTCGTGCTCTTTCTAATTTCGGTGCCGTGTCGCAGCAATTCACCGTCTTTTCGTGTCCAATGTCGTACAAATTGTGAAAGGAGTGAATAGTTCAAGAGTCTAGAAAGAAAGATCGCGTGTTGAAGTTGGTCTCCTCATAAGGACAAATAGGTTAGCACGTAGCTCGACCTTCCTCATGCGTGCCTCGACATGATTCGCCAACTTTCTTTCTTCCGGTCTGCATGAGGAAATTCCGGGGCCTGGTTGGGGCTTGCTTAGCGCTCGGATCCCCGCTATTCAGGGGTTTTAGCGGCTGATGAACTGCAAGTGTCCCTTTAACTGTCTCAGGGGCAAGACTCAAGTCGGCCCGGACTATCGGTCGATGGATTGAATGAAAGCATCAGGTAACAAAAGGAAGAGAAGATTAGAAATAGATCAACGCTCGTTTTTCATTTATAGCTTGAATCAAAATATACACGCCTTTTATATGGCTGTATCTACACTGCTAATTTTCCCATAGTAACACATATCCCAAAAAAAAAAAAAAACTCCGTCCGAATGCCGAGAGCATATAAAGAGGCTATGTCAAGATACAGAACCATATGCTGAAATATTAAACACACAGATAGTCCATATCAGACCTATCTCACGCGGTAAACATCAATGTCGTCATCGTCGTCTTCACTATAATCGTCATCCTCCGGAGGAGCTCGATTCTTGGGCTTCTTGCTGCGGAAGCTGAGCAGTCTCTTAAACCCACTCGGCTCCGCAGGCTCAGCACCTGCAGCATGAGCTGCGCCCGACTCCGGTTCTGGCACGTTCTGTGCCTCATTATCAGCGTCGTAGTCATAGAACAGCTTCGGTACGAGCAGCCTGTAAGGCTTGGTGATACCCGTGGGGTCCTTGGGATTGATCTCGACGTTCAGGGTGATGTCGAGTCCACCCTCTAGATCAACGGCATACTTGTCTGCCTGCTTCTTCTGCTTGGTTGAAAGACCCGTAGGTGTCCTGTAAAAGTTTCCAGGACGAGGCGCAGGAGGTATGTAGCCCACAGCCTCACGCGAGTGTGACATGGCTCGCGATCCCACGGTTTGGGATCTACGAGGCTGGGACATAAAGTAGGAGTCGTCGCCTTCAGTATATTCGTCGTAGGCAGCTCCACCTCGAATACCCAAAGGACGAGCGCCTCCTCGTCGAGGAGATTGGGGCTCATCCCAGTACTCCTCATCATCATATTGGTCTTCGTCTCCCCAGGTACCGTTGATGCCACCGTCATCATCAGCAGCGCGACGCTGACTAGGTCGTCGAATGAAGCTGAAGAATCCGGCCTTCTTGGCATCGGGAGCCTGGTCAACAGACATGGATCGCTGAAGCTTGGCCGGGGGAGGCCGACCCCCATCTGCCGAATTTCGTCGCGACAGGCTGCGGAATAGACCGCCACCTCCTCCTCTGGTGACAGGAGGTCGAGGGCCACGAACGGTGTCTCTGCTTAGGTCGGGGCGATTGTCCGAAGATGTCGACTTGCTTCTAGAAAGGGACAATCTTCGGAGAAGGCCACCGCCTTGAGGCTTAGGGGGAGGGCTTGGGCTTCTTCCATCAGAAGATCCAGGAGGTGTTGGTGGAGGCGTGGTTCCAGGTTGCCACTCGCGAATCGCACACCAATTTCGGTGCGGAAGAAGATGCTTGTTGTTTCGCGGCTTGCCATCAACTCCTTGCTGAAAGAGGGGAATCATGTCCTCGTCAGTCTGCTTGTCGAAGTGGTGCACCTTGTTTCTCTTGTTCAGCACATCAGCCATCAGATCAGGAGGTGGTGTGTTGGCAATGGCTGATGAGATGATGTTGGGCATGTATCGCGGGTCCTTGTGTTTGGCAAGTCCCAACTTGGGGTTGGAGTAGAACTGTCCAACAGCCGCAAGATGGACGTCACCACTGAGGATAGTGACTCGCAAAGACTTGTCAATAGCCAGATCCTGCAAGTCTTCAACCACGACGGCTCGCTCCTGTTTGTGATTCTTAGCAGTCCAGTGGTCGTTCAGATCATCCAAGACCTCAACACCGCCATCAATATTGTTGAGAGCCTTACCAAAGACACCGGTCCTGCCGAGTGCCTTGACAGGATCCATCAGTCTGGATGTCAAGCTATTATCACGTCAGTATTGAGTTTTTGGAAATCACTCAGCAAGTCACTCACATATTCTCCAACCAGACCAACCTGGGGTACGCAATAGGAATACCCAGGAGCACCAGAAGATGTTCGACCTGTCCGCGGCGGACCTCCGCGTACAGTCGGTTCATGATCTTCTCCCATGTCTTGTCAGAAACAACATCATGCTCTGTCCTCTCAGTACGGCAGTCGACTGCAAGAAGTCCAACTCTGG